CTGGCTCACCATGTCTCCAAAGTGGTTCATGCCCAGGCTGTAGGTGTGTTTGCCCATGGAGTGCTCCAGGTTGTGCAGCTCGACCTTCTTCAAGTTTTTCTCCCACACCATCCTCCTCCAGCCCTCCTCCTTCTGCAGAGACAAAACTCAGTCAGGCCTCAGCTGGACACAAGAGCACCAGGTTTTACAGAAAGAAGAAGAACAATGCATCACCTCGTGGTATTTTTTAGCGTGCCAGCTCTTCCACAGGTTCCAGTGCTCATCCAGCTGTGGGTCCAGATGGGGGGCTGAGAGGACCGAGCTCAGGCCAACGGCGAGTACAGCTAGCAGCAGCTTCATCATGGCTCCTACTGCAAAACAAGAAAACAGCGTCAGGATCAGATTTCAGAGGCGCGTTTCTGGAGAACTCAGCCCTGGAGTTCTTCACAGAAACACTGTTACTCAACACAATCCTTCTCTTCTTATTTATCACAATGACTAATTAGTAAAACACATTCCCGACAGCGCAGTCATATCCTCCCCCCCGGGCCAAATGTGGGGCAACAGTTAGGCCAAACACACAAAAGGAGCCCGCTGAATCCCGGGATTAAAATAATAATAATCATCAAAGTGTATCCAAGAAAATCGATGCTGCCGATTTCCTCATCGCCATTTTCCTGCACATTCCCGAGCGGAAACGAGGCCAGATCCCGACAATGAGCAGAGCCTGTTTGTGTTTGTGCCGAGTCACGGGATCGGCTGTCCCGGCGCAGAGCCAAGAAACCGGGCCGTCACCGAAACTGCTACCAGGAAACCGAAAAGAAAACCAAAACTTGACCAGCATCCGGCCAGAAACACCACCTGATCCACAGCGGGCCGGGGTCCCGGCTTTTCTTGATCTATTTAACGCGAAGAGGCGAAAAAGCAACGATGGCTGCTACCGAAGCACAAACCGCAGATCACCGCACACACAGCCGAACGAAACACAAAGCGATGGGTGTGATGGAAACAACAGCAAAATATTGATTATCATCGCTAAAAAAAACCCATTAAATTAAAAACGTGCTAAATTAGAGATTTTTAAAACGGACACTGGTACGATGTTTATGCTAGGTTTAAAAGGCGAAAAAAACAATCCCACAAATAATTCTGATTAAACTTCCTGTTTCTAAAACGTAATCGTCAGACCTGAAAACGAGATTGAAAACTTCACTTACTCTAAAAACTCTCGACGCTGAAAGTGAAGAAAAATAACCTGCTGCCGTAACGCTGCGCTAAACTTTATAAAGGCTGCGCGGACACCCCAGCTGCTCCGAGGCTGCCCTGTGATTGGTCCGCTCTTGTTTGCTCCCAGGCTCCGCCCACACGGGATCTGATGTCATCATGGCAGCACGTGATTGTCCCCCCACCAGCTCTGCGGGTAGCTGTTGTTGTTGTCGATAGTTTTTTAGATAAGCGCGATTTTAAAAAGAATTGATTTAATCAGCGTGTTTTTGTTTGAACGTGTTTTCAGTCACAGAGCCTCTGATTGATCCCAATGCTGCTCAATACGCTGATTACAGACAGAAGTACTCAGGAAAACACTCAAAAGTACATCCAGTAAACTATTACAATGATTAGTAATAACGATTTATTCTGTGTGTTACTGAAAACGCGTCTGCTTTTGTACTTTTATATTTCTGTGGTGTGTGGGGGACTTTTTAAAAAGTTAAACTGGTAAATAAATATACTGTTACTGAAAGTGTGTGGAGACTGAAGTGAAACCCCCACAGAGAACCAGGCCTGCAGGTTTTCTGCTGCAATTTGTTGTTCAACCAGAGCAGGAAATTAGAGAAAGGCTTCCAGATTCATCTGAAGACATGTCGTTTTCTTTGTGTGAAACTGCGACTGCAAAAATAGGTATGGACAACAAACACCCACAGAAGGCCTCTCAGTGAGTTTAAAAGTTGCACAACAACAGGAGCCTGAGCTGGAGGGTAAACACTGAATGTTTGTTACTGGGTCATAAAGGAGATTTGTAAGGGGGAAAGTTGTTAATCTGTAGTTTGTTTGTGTATGTTTTTGTATTTTCCTTCAGTGCACCCCGCCAGCACCAAATTTAAGGTTCACTTCAATAATTTTGCCGAAGTAAAAACAGGTTAAATTAATCCCTTTTTAGGTTATTATTTAATAAAAATAAGAGCTGATGATGATAGATGGAGAAGAGTAGATGATCATATCATTTACTCTGTAAAATGAAGACGGTGCACTCTACCATCGTTTCTAAAGTATACTTTGTGATCCTTCAGGTGTTAGACTGTAACAGCCTGACAACGACCGCATTAACATACAGAGCAGCAGAGACGGGCCTACATGAATATACATGAATATACATGAATATACATGAATATACATGAATATACATGAATATACATGAATATACATGAATATACATGAACACTGACCCTGAGTCAATCAGTGTTCATGTGACTGATAAGACTGAGGGACTCTGAACAGGCTGTGATAGTCTGACTTACATCATGACATTTAGATTTTTATTACTCTGCAGGTTCAGATTTAAAATGCACGTAAACTGTGATGCACTAATATGTTACAACTTTAAAACACAATGTGTGGAAGTTTACACATGTGCCCACTGTGGCAGGTCCGTGTGAAGAAGGGAGCAACTAAAAGCAGCTTCTTCACATGATAATGCATCAGCAACAGCAGTCCAGTAATGACACGGTAATAATGTAACACAGGAATGAGACGTTTTGGGATGCTGCACTTCATCATAACAAAACTGCTGCACAAACATCTCAAGTTCACTCTGGATTCTGGAGCTTTTGCTGGTGTGTCTGTGTGATGAGATCAATTTATTTTCCCAGAGTAGCTGCTACACAGAAACTCAACAACTTTATAATTTAGGACCTCTGAGATCTTTCGTGCGGCCCATCAACACGAAGATGGATGTTTGGGCCTGAAAAGCGACGCCAAAGCAGAAGATGCATGTAGTTTAATAACAGTTGTTTCTCTTTCTTTACTTTGAGCCCAGTAAACGGGTGAACGCTGGTCGGAGTGTTTTGCTGCCTTTGAGCAGAGCCGGGTTTCATTTCTCCTCCTGGTTTCATCCTAATGCTGCGATACAGCTTTAGTTTCATGTTACCTACATTACTGCAGCGGGATGCTTCTGAACTTCTCCCCAAACTGGTTTCAGCACACTGAGTCTAAACCACACAGTTAAATACCAGCGATGCACATCAAACACTGCCAGCAGCAGCAGTGATTCATCCACGTCTGCCCCTCTGTCCGTGTCATGCATCTGTGTGGTCACATATAGGAAGCGGTTAAATTAGCGCAGCATCGTTCTTTACTGTACAGCAGTCTAAAAAAACACTGTGTCCTTCCTTGCATGCGTCTCTGCTGCTGAGCACAGCAGGCATATGACTGTGTTGCTCAAGCAGAGGCACACATGACGACTGGCCGAGTGTTTTCTGTGCAGTCATCCACCAAAAGCTTCTCTCAGAGGAATCTGTCAGACACGATAACTGCCAGTGTGTTTCTGTCTGAACTTTATCAGCAGCAACAAGTTTATCAAAGAAATGTGATTTAAATCAATCAAGCACGCTGCAGAGGAGCACACACAGTGCTGGCTTATGAATGGATTTTCCTTCATGGTCTGAGCCATCATGTGGACCAGCAAAGAAGCTAAAAAAGAATCAACTCCAAATGTTTCTGTATCACAAGAATATTTCAGATTCATGCGTCACCTTCTTACAAAACCATGAACCATCAAAGATGTTTCCCGAATTTGGCTGTTTGGATGAAGCAAATTTAGATTTCTACATATCCACAAACACAGATGAGCACAGTAGCAAAGTCAATGCATGGAAGTGAAACAGCTTTTACACTTTGAACTGCAACGTAAGAAAGATTTGATCTTTGAAAATAAAGATTGAGGCAGCGAGGACCAATGACAAACAAGATCAGAATAAAAACAGAGTTTAGATGTGCTGCTCTGAGCACGAGAGCCTCTCAGTGTTTTTGTAAAAATGAAACTGTTTAGTTCCTAAAACTAAAAAAAACTCATTATGCAGAATCATTTTATTACCGGCTCATGATGGTTTTATCACTGTGTAAATATTTTAATGCTGCGGATGAAGACGCGCGGCACTTTGTGGACTAAATGTTTCTGTCATCGAGGCGACACATTCCTCTGATTAGGATGTTTAATCAGCACAAACTCTCCGGCGGGTTATCAGCTGCTGCGCGCGTCTTCTGACCCTGAAACAAAGGTTAACACACAGTGATCAACACAACACACACTCAGTGATACTGATGATTGTCAGTGATTGTTTCTGTTCACAGAGTCATTCAAACGTCTGCAGTCGTCCAGGAATCGCTGAGGTGCGAACAGCCTCATTACTCACAGAAACACAAGAGTGACGTCAAAGCAGCAAAGAGCCGAATGTAGAAA